CTTTTATGGTGCGCTAATTACATTAAATTTCAACATATCATTTTGTGGCAGGTTGTGGTTTAGCATCAGGTGAGGGGTAGAGCGAGTTCAGGTGACAGTGGCAGGGGAGGCTGGGAGAAAGAGCTGATGCCTGCCACGGTGTGAAACGAGTGGCTTCGAGTTGTGAACTAAATAAAAACTATTAGTGAAACGTGACGCAGAACTGTCTCCTTGTGTGTGTCATAACAGAGATCAGTAACAGAGTGATACAGTGGTGCCCAGCTTGCCGCTACGACATGTCAAACCCACAGAATCTACAGCAAGGTCGCGCACTGGCTCAAATGTTGGCCGACATGGCAGACTTGCAGCAGCAGCAGGCAGTACTGCAGCAGCAGCAGGCAGTATTGCACCAGCGGCAGACGCAGATGCTACAAAACCTTTTGCCTCAGTCTGGGGCCGCTGCGAATCCGCTCCACCTGGAACTCTCTCCAGAAGACCATCGTCGCCGCTTCCGTGGTTGCCGCATGGGACCACAAGAAGGGCCTTCGGCTTTTGCCCAGCAGCTCCTGTACGACGCGGGGAGGTGGCTGCATCCTGACCCGACACAAGGGGAGGCGCAGCTGCTGGAGGCTGTCGTTCTGGAGCAGTTTGTGGAGGGGCTCCCAAAAGAAATGGCGGACTGGGTCAAGTGTCGCAAGCCACCCAATCTGGAGGCGGCAGTGAGGCTGGCTGAAGAACACCTGGCGGCGCGGACGGAAAACCCCAGAACATCGCAGCCAGGGGAGGTGAGCATCTGCAAAAGAGTGATTTTTGATGTTTTGGTTTTTTAAGTCTAATATCTTTACTTATGTTAGTAAATACACTTTAGTCAACAGGGTTTATGAAGGGGTTGTATATAAAAGAAAGAAATGATCTGTCTTCCAAGTATTTTTATGACTTTATGCGTATTTGTACCCATATTGTCATCAATCCAGTTCTTTTTGATTATAGAACTGTGATGTTATATTTGTTATTTCTGATGCCCTCTTGGCTAGCTCTCTCTTGAAAAAAACATTGTTATTGTCAGTTACGTTTTACCCTGATTTGAAGTTACTTGATATTCATCATGAGCAATATTTTTGACAGATTTTAAGTCAACAAGTAATTTATAACAGCTTAAATTCCTGCAGTAAACTTTTTGACAAATGCTGGAAACCCCTTTTTGGCAGATGATCACTTTTTGGTACCCTACTGGCCCCAAGGAGCAAACTTTCCGTGCCTGTGCCAGCGACACTGACCATCGAGGACCACTGGCTACGCTCCAACAACCATTTCCTCTCTGCTTTCTATCCCCAGGTCCTGGCAGCGACAGGCGCTGTACCTGGCTCATTGGTGGCTGCACAGACACAGGGACAGGTGCGTGAGCAGTGTGGGGACCTGGGACATTTTCAACAGGAATGCCAGGAGGACGCCATGGAGGTGCAGCAGGTGTACAGTGTTACCGGGATGTCTACACCCAACTCTGGTCGAGGAGGGAT